TAATGTGAAGCCAGAATACAGTCCAAATTTTACTGCATTTGCTGGCAATGATATGGCGTTATCGTTCATTGCCTGGAAGATTCTGAGCCATTTAGAGCCCTAACTTGGTTTTCGAGTTTTGTTTATAAGAGGAACACGTCATTTTCAGATGAAACTGAGAACAAAGAAAAGTATGCAATTACTCAGAAATACGCATACTTCTGCTGAATAGAAATTTGCCACCGCAGACAAAGTTTTCCAATGAAAATACAGTTATGGCATTACAAATTGATACATCGAAAAAGGCTCCGCGAACTCTTCTCAGCTGAACGATTCTGCTTCCGATCCAGGCGATATTATTTCCTAACTGTGCTAAATTGCTGTACTGGCTTGCAGGATTGCGGTGATCATAGTTTTGAACGAGTTGCAAATGAAAGATGAAAGGAAAGTGAAATTGCTTAAGAATCTGATGGTGCGAGATGAAGTAAAATTCGATCGTTGTTAGTAGCAGCGTTTCCTTTACTCCGTTGCTGCACTGGTTTTACTTCGAAAGGAAGCCGTTATCTGCGCATTTTTGTTTTGTTTTGAACATTTTGTTTTGGAATTGTTATCTGCTTTGAAAAGTTCAGTTGAAACATTTTGCTTTGGGAATGTGAACTTTAGTTTGCTTGTGGATAAATGTGAATTCGAGCTTGCCTGTGTACATTTGTTTTCTCCTAAAAATGGCGATGAAATTGAGGTGATCGAAGCAACGGATATTTCTTCAAAGTTATAGTATCACTTCTAAGAAAGTTGCAGTTGATGTGCATGGTGTCGGATACTGTATGCTTTGCTTGGAGTTGCCATAAACATTAGTGCCTGACAATGTAACCCGATGAGACAACATCATCTATGAAATGACTAGAGGAAATAAGTTATATTTACAGTCTGAAAAAATGATACTGTTTTATTACAGAAATCTATAAATGAGGATACTCTCCAAAGCAAGGCACGGATAAACACGGTTCTTTCTTTTCACGGCGCGCAGTCCACAAACACCTTGATGACTTCTCCTTTCTGCGAATACTGAAACGCCTCGACAGCCTCTTCAAGCTTATAATGCGCCCTTGTCAATTTGTCCAATTTAATCTTCCCTGAGCTGATCATTTCAATTGCTGCAGGCCAACTGAAAAACTGAGTCACAATCATTTGTGAAAGAAAATACATGGCTTCTTGAACTGAAACATTTCTCTTCATTTTTCAAATATATATTTATGCATCCTAATTAATATCGCTACTACTTCTAGTTCAATAGAGATTAAGCTAAAGGGGTGAGGAAGA